CACACAAAGGGCCTCTCTCAGGGAGTACTTGTGTCCAGAGGAGGCATGTACCTAGAATCACAATTATAAAAGACAAAAGAATCTCTGAGAGCATCCATTAACCAGCCCACAATGACGTAAAGCCAAAAGCATTAAAAAGACTTTACATATAAGGATTTTTATTTTATAGAAGTCATCTAAGGCTTTTACTTCCCCAGCAGCTTTAGTGTCTGAAAGACGGCTAGTTACAGTAGGGTCACAAAGGGCCTCTTTCAGGGAGTACTTGTGTCCAGAAGAGGCATGTACCTAGAATCACAATTATAAAAGACAAAAGAATCTCTGAGAGCATCCATTAACCAGCCCACAATGACGTAAAGCCAAAAGCATTAAAAAGACTTTACATATTTAAGGATTTTGCCAAAGTACACTATATAAAAGTGCCATATATGTACAATTCTCATTTCATTATGTCATTTACCATATGGGTTAAGAGTTTCTTCTCCTATTTTCCCCAATTCTAAAACATAAGGCGCTATATATACCAATCCCTCTGCCCATTCTTAACTATCTTCGAGTAAAATTGTTTTACCTGAAGGAATTTCGACCGATTTTCCAGGAGAACTTTGTTGTCTGTCTTCACTGCTTGCTGAAACATGTAGTCACAGAATTGCTCCCGCACAAATCCTGGGCTGGCCACCAGGACACACTTTACAACATCAAAGTTTATGTGACGCTGGATAGCTTGGACCACTTGCTCATAGAACCGCTCTAAAGCTCGGTCATGCTGGGAGCAGTTGCCTCTCCGTTTCCTAGGGATGTTCACCTCCACCTTGGCCCGGGTGAGGGTCATGCTGGGAGTGACTAAGCAGATATGGGCGAGGCCTTCCTGCATGACTACAGCTGCCACATCAGCACTCCAGGCTGGGTCACAGGCTTGCTCGATGCGCTCCAGAACCACACTGTCCCACTGTTTCTTTGCCAGGGTGAACTGGCGGTTGGGCTCCAGCTCTATAGTGTGGTAAGCCCCCATCTTGACATACTCGTTCTCTTGGATGTTGGTTCCCTTAACCCTCAGTTGGCAGGCTTGAGAGTCAAAGTCGATGGCCTCCACGCAAAGAGTGAGGGTAGTGCGGACCCGATTGCTTCCCACGCTGCCCGTGGAGGACTCGGTCTGGACCTTGCGGATAGTGGAGGCGCGCAAGCTGTCGCCTACCTGCACTAGATTGTAAGTGTGCCACATGTCCTCAGGCTCTTCGGGGACCAGAGTCACCTGCCCCGCATTATCCTTCTCAATGTCCTTCCTCACAAGCTTCATGGCTTTACAAGGGGCTCAACAGGAGAACAAAAAATACGAGGGAGTGCCCGTAAGGAAAGGTGCAGAAAAGGGAAAAGGCAGTTGAGGCCGGGAAGGGGCGGGCCCGACAAGTATGGACCCTTGCCTGGAGGAAAGGGAAATATTCTAGCTCTGACTCATACCGCCGAGTGTAACACTTACTCTTGCCCTTCGTTTCTCAGTCTCCGGGCGCGGCGCACCAAACCAGCCTGGGAGATACCTCAGAGAACAACGACCCTTTCGGGGTCCCAGCCACCAACTCGGAGCAAGTAGGTGACGCGAGGAGAGCGCATGCGCGGCACGTCCCCTCTCCCGCGCACACTTACGTCCCAACGGAAAGGCGGGGCTACAACGTGCGCGCCGGCGCACAAAACCAGGAGGCGCTGCCTAAGAGTCGTCTGAGGTGCGGGCAGTCTTTTTGACAAAAGCTCTATTTTAACGCTTTCCAAGTTTTCTCTCCAATTCCTGTTTGCGAAGAATGGAGAAGTGAGTGAAAAAGAGTTCTTCTTAGCTGTATGTGGTGCGTTTGCCAACCTGCCTCCGCCCTCGGCGTAAATCCAACTTCACCATTTACCTAAAAGTAAAAGGCGCTCTCAGGAAGTGCAGATTTGGCCTGAAATGTTCAAACTGTGCTCGTTATTCCTCATTCCTTATCCTCAGAGGCGACAGAACTGTTGGTTTCTAAGATCAATTGGTCACATTAGATCTGGGCTCTCAGCGAAGTGCCCAGCTGTTTCTGAGCTTAGTTACTGTGTCTGCAGAATCCAGTTAACCCAGATGTTAAAGCACTGATCCCAGAGAGGGAAACTATGTATGGAATTTACCCCTGGGTGGACCTCCCAGTGGCTTGACCTGAAGTCCTGGGAATCCCAGAATCCAAACCTGGCAATCTCAGCTTTCCTCAGCTCAGCCTGTGACATGTTTGGAGTGGAGACTGGGTCTCAATAGTCCGGCATTTTTCTTTACAGATCTATTTAAGACTGGCCGCGAATGAATAGCTACAGAATCGATTTTTTTTTAAAAAAAAGTCTTAAATGACATTTTTATTGCAGAGTAGGGATGCAGAAGTGGGGTTGCCTTTCTAAAAAGCCAGAAAGTAGGAAAGAGAAAAAGTGTGTTTTTTCTCGGAAATTAAGATGGAATGGAAACAAAGTACCCTTGCACACATCTCGTTAGCTTTCCTGGTTTTTTGTGTGTGGATTTTAAAGTGAAGCTTATCAGCCTGACCTTGTGAGACAGGAATAAAAGGGAGGAGTTTGACTCTGGCACAGGCTTGGTAATTTTGAATGAAATGTCAGTTATGTTCCTCAGAGATCCTCAGGGGACAAGGACCCTTCCAAGGCTCGAAGTCACATTAGACCTGCCATTTATTGTGTGGCCCTTGCATTCTCTCTCTCTCTCTCTCTCTCTCTCTCTCTCTCTCTCTCTCTCTCTCTCTCTCTCTCATCTTTCTTTCCCTCTTATTCCTTACCTATCACACTGAATGTCCTAAGTTAATTCATATTGCTTCTTCCTTCAATTTCAAGAGAATTTAGAAGCTTTTCAAAGCTAGGAATGGATCACACTGAAATATGAAAGGTGTCATGCCTCCCCAGAGCACATTGTATTGTTTTAAAAGGATCTTGTTAACTTCCTTGTGAGGCAGGGAAGAAGCAAGACTTTTCAGCTAAGAGCTTTGAAGTGCTCCTTGATAATCTTTCTAAAGAAGATTCATCTCTCTCCATAGTATACCAAGGATTTAAAAAAATGATCACATAATAGAATATTAATAAAAGGTTTTTATTGAAGAGTTACCATTTATTGAATATTCAGCAAGCATTTTCCTGTTCTCTTTCTTTTTTTTGGCAGGGGGCGGGGTGTGGTTTGAGACAGGGTCTCACTATGTAGTTGAGACTGACCTGGAACTCACTGTATAGTCCAGGCTGGTCTGGAACTCAGCTGTCCTCCTGCCTCAGCCTCCCAAGTGCTGGGATTACAGGTGTGCACCACCACGCCTGGCTCCTGTTCTCTTTCTGATCTTATCCTTTAAAGTAAATAGTTGTTATCCTAATTTTACAGAAGGAATTATGGGAAAATTAAGAAATTTGTTCAAGGCTGGGGATTTAGCTCAGTGGTACTGCAGCCTGCCTTGCAAGCACAAGGTCTCAAATTTGATTCTCAGTATGAAAAAAAAAATGTGTTCAAGATCAAATAACTATCATTCAAAGTCAGGCCTGCTTAACTCCATATACGCTCTTTCCACTACCACTACCCTATTTTATCAGCTCTGCAAATGCAAATGCAAATTATATGCTGTTATTCATTACCACTTCCCATTAACTGTCACTTTTACCAGTTAAAAGCCCAAAGCTTAGCTCTCAGTCTAGGAGATTTGAAAGGCACTAGTCCCTTCCCTGTTTTGCCTGCCTCTTAAAATTGTTATGGTGTTCATGGCTGGGGATTTAGCTCAGTGGTTCTACTGCCTGCCTTGCAAGTACAAGGACCCAAGTTTGATCCCCGGTACAAAAAAAAAAAATGTTATGGTGTTCTTTCCACATAGTTTTCCTCCTACCCTGCCTACATTATCATTATAATCTTTGAGAATGATCTAACATTCTATTTTTTAAAAATG